TCAGCCCCTCCCACGTCACACTCTGATCCGAGGGGACACATCAAATCCTCTCCAGCCTGGCTGACACGTTTCCCCACCTCACTGGCTGACAGTGAGACTCGGCCCAGAACTCACTGTCCCTGCTCAGGGGTCTCAGGGAACACCGAGCTTTGATGAACCCTGTCCACAACACACCACACTTGCAGCCGTCCATCCTGAGCACCTTCCCCATGGCGCCTTCGCCACTGGTCCCTGTCTGTCCCCACCCTGAACCCTGGGCCTGGCCCAAGGGCCTTTGGGAGGTGGATAGGCCACACCTCCCATGCAAGGAACCATGCCCACCAAGACTGGCTCAGCCTGGGCTGGACTGCCACCTCCCTCCACCTTTCACCCACAACCAGGAACATTTCCAGACATTCAGAGTCAAAGGGAAACGTGGCTGCATCTGCCCCCACCTCTGGCCCACGGTCATAAGCAACTCTGGGGAACCACAGAGGACACCCTGCTTGGCGCACCAGGGAGCAGGGTCTTGGGCAGCAGCCACGACCTTCCCCCATTCTTCAGCTGCACAAACTGAGGCTGGAGAGGAGACACCAGCTCCGGGTGAGGCTGGAACACGCCCAGGAACCCAGCCTCCTTGGGGGCCTGAGAAGGCAGGCACCAGACCCAGGAAGAGCACCACACCTGCCTTATAAGGCAGCCTTGGGGAGACTCGGCTGCTGTCACTGCAGAGCCAGGGTGGAGCCAGCAGCCACCCACTCCACTGGGTTCTGGTTCTGTAGCCCAGCCCCACCCAGAGACAGAGAGGGCCACAGTGACCCTGAGGGACCACCGGACGCTGCCAAGCTGAGGGACGGGCTGACCTTGGACACCAAGATCCCGATATACAGCGTAGAGCTCAACCCTCACAAGCTCAGAGGCGGGGAGCTCAGACCTGCTCTCAGCTCCTCACCTCTCTCTCCCCCTTTTCAGGCATCTAGGATTCCCACTTTCCTCCCTGAAATGTTCACCCCAACAGGAATCACACCCCGAGCCAACATCCAGCCCAGAGAGCCGTGTGGAGTTCGCTGTACATCCACCCCACCCCTAACCAGCTCTGAGGGGACGGCCGGCTGGTAGGTAGGAGAAATCCAGTGAGAGCTTTCCCAGTCCCTGGGAGCCCATGGGAGTCCCTGGGTCCCTGCCTCCACCTGCAAGGGCCACCCAAAGTTGTCTCCATCTCACCACCTACAGGTCACTCCAGCACCCTTTTACTGAGCACATACTACGCTCTCTCATGGGATTCTCTATGAAAAATAAAGACAACAGCCCCCCAAGGAACCTAGGCTAGGGCTGGGGTGTGAAAGAGCTGTGCAGAATATGTACCCCAAATGTTAAGGATATCCCTGGCTTACAGGAAATTTTAGAATTTAGAATTTCCACTTTCTGTATTCTCTGCATTTTAGGGAAAGGGTAGTATACTACTTTTTGCGAGTTGAAAAACTATTTTTTACACTGAAAAAGAATCTAGCAGAGGGAAAAAGGCTCACAGACAATTTACATCCCAAGCTGAACATCGGGTCCTTTCAGGAGAAAGATGCAAAAGAGCTCAGGAGTCAGAGGAAGTGAGGCTACTTTCAGCCTCAGGAAAAATGTGTAGGAGTTGGAGGGATGCATGTGAATTCCACCAAGCAATGAGGTGGGGGGAGTCCGGGCAGAGGGGTCGTGAGGAAGGTGTGCGGGCAGGCGAAGCTGGGGCACAGGGCTGCATGAGCTGAGCAGGGCTCGGGTGAGTGAGCTTGGTGTAGGCTCGGGTTGGAATGGATTTCAGCAGTGCTGCTCTAGGATCAGTCTGGGAGCCGCTCAGCTGGGCCCAGGAGACCCCACCGTAGGGGCACAAATAGAGGGGCGAGAGTCTGACCCAAGGGCACAAAGATCCCCGTTAGGTTTGGATCTAAAATGTCCCCCAAAGGGCTCAGAGGAGGGGATTCTGGAGATTGGATCACGAGGGCTCTATCAGTGGATTCATCCATGGACAGGTTCCTAACTTGACAGTGTTATTGGGTGATGGAAACTTAGGAGCTGGGGCCCGAATGAAGGGAGTGGTCATGGGGCTGTGCCCCTGGGAACCTGCCCTGCGCGCCAGCCCCTTCCTAGCTGTCTGTCTCTCTTCCTCTCTCTCTCCCTCCTGGCTGCCTTAGGTAAGCGGCTTTGCTCCACACCACAGCCCAGAGCCAGGTGATCACGGACTGAAACCATGTGCCAAGATAAACTTTCTTGCCTGCATCTTCACTGGCAGCACTGAGCTGACCCACACACCCTCCCTCCCCAGCCCTCCCCAGCCCTCCCCAGCCCTCCCCAGGCAATGCCAGCTATACCTGGGTGCAGGGCCAGGATGGCCAAGGACAGTGTTCAGAGCAAGGCCTGTGGCGGCACTGGGCACTTCCAACCTAGCCCCCAGAGAGGGCCGAGGCAAGAGCTGGGTCTGCAGGAAAGATGGGCAGGAAACCAGCAGGGAAAAAGCTGGACCTGGGTCCAGAGGATGGGACAGGCCGTGGCCAGAGGAGAGGGAGAGGAAGAGGGAGAAGGAGGGGGGCCTTGGAGGAGAAGAGGGGCTGTGGGAAGTTCAGACCAGGACCCTGAGGAGAGAAGCAACCTTTGCTCACCCCATGCTTGTGCAGGCACTCTGGGCCGCTGGCCCCAGCTCTCCCCTGACATGCTGGGCCCCTCTCCGGGCACAGGGGTCTGGGTCACCAATGGTGTGCATAGTACAGTCTGCTCTCAGCACATTTACCTTCTACCCATGGAGGAGCTCTACCCCCCATGGGCTTGCGGAGCTTCACGCCTGGCCGGGCTGCATCCCAAGCTTGGGGCAGGCTCCCATGACATCCTGTCACTGCCCCTCGACATTCTGCCCATAGCTGTGTCCCTGTGCAAAGTAGGGACTGAGCTGTGTCCACTGGAGAAAGATCAGCATCCTCTCATGTGTCCCCTGACCATGCCACCCTGAGCAGACGCCCCCCACCTGTCCCTTACACCACCTCCTACTGCATCCAGCGCCAGCTGTCATAGAGATCTGGGGCCAATGTCGTCCCAACCACATCCTGTTTGACTCAGCAGAGTGTGAACACCTCAGCCTGGGAGGTAGCAGATCAGATAAAGGTCTTGGACACAGAAGACCATGGGGGAGAGAAAACGCCCCTGGCCTCTCTGCACACACTGCCCACCCCTTTGTCCTGACACCATGACACTGCACTCAGGACCACCGAGTCTGGATTGATGGGTAGGGGACTCTGCAGGGTCAAGTTTAGAGAGATGGGAGAAACAGAGAGCCATCCAGGGCTGGGAAGAACTGTAAAGGGCCATGAGTCCCCCCTGGCTGCTCACAGCGCAGCCTGATGCCTGATGCTGTGGGAGATGCAGAGCCCCCAGCCCCCAGGGCTGCCAAGTATGCGAGATTAAATGGCTCTTTGTGCACAGCCAAACATTAGAGTGCTGGTCTCCATGTCCCTCTGCACCCAAGCTCCAGGCTTCCCCGCTTATCCACTGACCACTGGAAAAGCCTCACTCCCAAAGGAAAACCAAAAGAACTGAAAGCCAGGACTTAAAGGTCTGTGTGCACACCCAAACTAGAGCACAGTATTCACAACAGCCAAAAGCTAGAAGCAACCTAGGTGTCCATCAGAGGATGGGGATAAGAAAATGTGCACCACACACACAACACAGCATCCCCCAGCCTTGGGGAGGAAGGACGCTCCGACGTGTGCTGCAACAGCGGATGAGAACCGAGGGCATCATGCTGAGAGAAGAACCCAGACACAAAAGGGCAGATACTGTGAGACGCCACTTCAATGAATCCCCCAGAGTCACCAAACTCAGAGAGATGGAAAGGAGGACAGGGTTGTGGGCACCTGGAGGACAGAGGAACAGGGAGAAGGTGTTAAATGGGGACGGAGTTTCTGTCTGGGATGTGGGAAGTTCTGGAGACAGACAGAGAGGATGACAGCACAATGCTGTGAATGTGTTTACCAAGTACGCACTTCAGAACAGCTCAAATGCTCACTTTTATGTTATGCGTATTCACCACAATTAAAAATAGTAATAATAAGGTAAGTCAAAAACAAGACTGTTCAGGTTGTCTAAGCCAAAGAACGCTTATTGAACATTTGTGGAATTCCAACTTCAAGTCCAGAAATGAACTCATCTTTCAAGGGGCAGAGAACCCTTGACACGGCCCTGTGGGGCTGGGACCGGGGGAGAGGATACACCTTGGAGAAGGGCCACAGTATCGCTCAGCCCTGGTGGTCCCGAGAAGGCCCTGTGTCCCCACAGCATGGCACCATCTTCCTTGCAAGCTCTCCACACCACACAGCTCCGTGTTTAAGCACAAGAGCACTGCTCAGCCCCCACCTGCCTCCCCGCAAAGAAAGCTGTGTGCAGGTTCACTGTCCCCTGGTCCAGGGACTCCTGGGGGCCCTCAGCCATAAAATCCTAGTGTACTCCCCACTGGGGAGGCAGGGGAGGAGGATGAAGGCCAAGCACAGTCAACACAAGAGGACCCTCCAGTGCAAATGGAGGGGGCACAAGTCCTTTCCTCCCAGGCAGCCTGCAGCTCCTCCTGAGCAGGGCGTAAGGCCACCACTAGCCCAGCAGTCTCCAGAACATGGGCCCATCTGCAGTGCTCAAGCCCATCACGTCCCGTGTCCCCAGAGGATCCCACAACAGTTCCTGTTTGAACCACCATTCTCGAGCCTTCCAGGCCCCCACTGTCCCACAACCACACCACAGGGGCCCCACAGTGGCCCACACTAACAAAGGAGGCAACCCAGAGATTCTTGTCAAAGTTTCACTGATGTCCCACTCACTGCATTTCAGTGTGGCCCCTGGGGACAGAAAGCCTGTCACACTTCCCCGAGTCCTAGGACATCACTCTACAAATTCAGGCCTTTCTCCCCTACCTGCATTCAGCTTCTTCCAGGACCCCACAGCAAAGCCCCACCCCCAGCCCTGCAGCCTGGAGGGCCCTGTGTTCTGCCACTCACCCTCCTGGTTCCTGGGCAAGGTTTCAGCCATGGTTGGCTTGGCTTCCAGCCTGCTGTGCAGCTGGGGCATTGGGGCAGGCTCAGAATTTTCCAGGGTCTGGGACGGGAGGGGACAGGCAGATGCCTCGGCTGTCTTGGGCACCTGGATCTCAACCCTCTTTGGGGCTGCATCGGTGGTAGGGGCAACGGGCATCTCGGGAACCTTGGAGGTGGGGGTCTCCATCCTGCGGTGGGCTGGCTCCTGAGGCTTGACGATGGTGATCTCCGTCCTCCGAGGGGTTGGCTCCGGCGTCTTGTGGCCCAACCCCTCAGCCCTCTTGAGCCCAAATCGTGCTGGCCCGGTGGCGCCTGAGGTCTCCACCTGCTTAGAGGAGATGTCAATGGAGAGCTCCGTGCGCCGTGACACAGGTTCGGCCACCTTGGGCCCCGAAAGCTCGACCCTCCTCAGGGAGGGCTTGGGAGAGCGCTGGCTTAGGGAGTCTACATGGCGGGCGGTGGGCTCTAAGTTCTTCACACCCAGCTCCTGGAATTTCTGGGTGGAGCTGGCCACGGTGGTGCGGAGCAGCGGAGTCTGGACCCTCCGGGTTGGGGTGGAGTTGGGCGGCTCGACCTCCTCAACCTCGAAAGATCTCTTCAAGGCTGAAAGACAGAGAGGAGGACATGGTAAGTGGCCCGTGGTCCACAGTGTGTGGGTGGTTTGTGCTGAAGAGAACAGGGGGCTGACTGGGACACCACAGGAGCAGCCAGGACTCAAGAGAAGCAGGCAGGTCCACTCTAGAGGATTTGCAGGGACCAATGGTTGGGAGGTCTGGATGACAGAGACTGGATGGGAGAGGATGCGGGTCTCTCCCTTCTCCTGCCATGGCCATGACATGGACGGTACAGCTTCCCTCTGGACACAGCTACAGAAGAACGTGCTGGCTCACTGACAGCCTTGGATTTCCTCTGTGGCTTCCTTTCTAACCCTCATCTCTCCCCCACAGCATCTGCAAACAGCACCATCACTGCCAGTCACAGGGCAGGACACGACCTGACAAAAATGACCACAATCGTAACCACTGAGAATCCCCAAAGAAGGACATCGCACCAATAGTACCCCAATAGCTGACCCTGGGACATCTACTGACAAAGTGTTGGGGTTACCAAGGTGGGTCACATTTATTCCTCCAACAACCCGTGACATAAAGAATATTATTACCTTGGTATAAATGGGAAAACTGAGCAGAGAGCAATGTGCCTGGCAGAGCTCTGGTCTGTCTGAGACCAAAGCCAAGACACCAGGCCTCTGCTTGTCCAGTCCCCCAGCTCATCAACACTAGCTGAGCCCCATCTTCCCCCTCTGCTGCACATCCTCACCCTGGTTGTGCAGGATGCTGACCACCTAACTCTCACCCTGTGGCGCCCCCCGCTGAGTCACTCTCCACCTCCACCCAGGTGTGCACCCTCAGAACAGCAGAGAAAGACACCATCCTCATGTCCCCACAGCCGCAAATGAGAACCACCTCTTGGGTCACACAGACCAGAGCCCCGTGGCAGGAACAGTCTCTAGCTCCTTCCCAGAGCAGCCCAATGTTTGCTGCCTCACCCCAGAGCCCAAGATTATCTAGGTCTCCACTGTTTCCTCCCCTATTCACAGAGAAAAGGCCCCAGCAACAGCTCTACAGGGCCATTTTTGACAGCTCCTCCCTCCTGCCTGTTTCCTCCAAACGCAAACAGCTCTCACCTCTGCTGTGTTCAACTATGTCCAGTGCTTCCTTTAGAAGACCAGAGGCTGGTAAGTGGCTGGCGGGCTGGAGAAGGGGAGAAGCAGAGGAGGCCCGTGTCCCTGCCCCCTGCCCCAGGGCACTACTGGTTTCCCAGACATGGCCCTGGGTAGCCCTCCTTCTTGGCGGACACACAATGAGTGGCTCAGCTCCAGTGTCCCAGGGGCCAGGCAGAGATGATGTCAGCAGAGCAACAGGTGTGGCTAGGTAGGGACCAGTGGATTCCGGAACACAGACAGGCCATGCACCTGCTCTCAGGGGGTGGATGCTGCTCAGCCATCAAGACCTGTGGGAACTTGGCCGTCCAGCCTCTCACTGAACTCAAGGAATCTGGATTTTTATATGATACTGTTCTTCTTGACTTTTAAATGTTGGCACTAAACAAAACAACCTTCTCCTTTCTGAGACAGGGTCTTATGCTGTAGTTCAAGCTGACCTCATAGCAACTCTCCTGCCTCAGTCTCCCGAGTGCTGGGATCACAGGCGTGCGCCACCATGCCCTGCAACATGCCCTGCTTTAAAACACTATAGTGCAGCCCACCCAACTCACACCCCTGGACTCCACTTGCCCAAGGCCCAGCCAGTGACCTGATGACATGCTGCAGGTAGGGTCCTGGGTCAGAGAGTCTGGCACTGGTACTCCAGATCTCAGCTTGGTGAAGCTCCACCCATGCCGCACTGGTGACACTGATGTGCCCTGTAGGCAAACTGCCCAGGCTGGGTCTAAGAAATCCGAGGGCTCTAGGGAAGGTCATTTGGGGGCTCACAGTGGCCAGCAAGTGCAAACTCCATGGTTGGAGCTTTGTCCCTGTGTGGTCCCAAGAAGTAGCATTATTACTCAGTTGTAAAACAATACCTGTCACAAGTAAGGCCCTGGGTTCGATCCCAGCAGCACCACCAAAAGAAGAAAAATGTGTAAGAGAAACGCAGAGGGGGATTTGGAAGAATGGGAAGTGCGGCCATGTAAAGACGGAAGCCCCAGCCAGGGAAGCTGGAAGGCAGGAAGGACACTCCTCCTCTAGATTGCCTGACACAGCAAGGTCCTGCCAACATCTTACATTCATCCCTCTGGTCTCCAGAACTCCAAGAGAATCAGTGTGTGTTGTCGAGCCACCAGATTCCTATAACTTGTCACAGGAGCCACAGGGCACTGACCCCGAGGCCTCCAGGAAGATGAACCTCTGGGTGGTACAGCCGTCGGGAGCCCTTGTTCTGTGTCCTCACCGCACTCTCCACCCAGCCCTACTCCACACTTAGCAGACCTCTAACCTGGGCCACAGAGGGGTGGCGCAGGGCTCACCAGCAGCTGCCTCCAGGAGCCTGGGGAAGGACAGCCACCTCCAAATACTCCAGATGGTGGGAGAAGTCAGCAGGGGACAGCACTGCTCTGGATTTACACTCCAACACTTGGCGAGGAGACAAGATCATTGTCTAAGACGCCCTGTGTGCAACTGTCTCCCACAGAGGGCTTTGTGAGGAGCACCCAGCTGGGAAAAATTAGGAGACAGCTTGTCAGGAGGCTGGCAGCACAGGATCCTCTGGGATTTACTCCCCCAACGCCCAAAAAATACCCCCATGTCCCACGCCCACACATACAGATACCCCTCTTCTCGATGTGAAACTTCAATGGAGACACCCCTCCAGTGTCCTGTCAGGGACAACCTGCCACATGGCTAGTATTTCTACCTGAGTCACCTCCGCATTCCCTGAAGAAGGAAAGGCAGCCAAGGGTGTGTGTGGTCAGAGGCCAGCAAGAGTGCTCATTCATAGCTTGTCACATGCAGATCTGAGACCCTGGTGTGGCCAATCTGACCCCAGGGACCAGCCAGGCAGGGCAGTGGCCTCTCCTGGGACCAATGAGTCTTCCTGAGCACAGAAGTCCTCCCACAAGGAATTAGCCCAACTAAAGGGCAGGCAAAAGACCCGCAGCAGCAGGACCAGGTTGTACTGGAAGCGTCTCCACTCTGCCACTGGGAAGTAAGATAGTCCCACCCCATGGCAGGAGGGATACCTTTGCCCAACTTACCCTCCTCTGTGGACGCATGCCTCTCCAAAGCCAGGCTCAAGCTAGCCTGCTCCAAGAGCCTTCCTCGGGCCATCTCGTCCTCCATCACCCTCAACTGCACCAAAAGCCTGAAGCCAGATCCCAGGCTCTGGCCCACTTCTGGGAATGGATCCCAAGGAACAAGCAGAGGCACAGAAAGATTTACGGGCCACGCCATTCACATCAGCATTAACACTGCCAACACTGGAAACAATCCGGGTTTATGTAGATCCTCTAAACCCATATGTCGAAGTCACACAGAATCATCAAAATCACATTCGGGAAGATGAGAAATGCCAAGGGTGTTAAATATAAATAGCAGGACACAAGATGTATACAAGATTCAATTCCACGTCTTCCACACATGTGCAGTTTGCACGCACACACACGTTCCCACCCTGGCAGAAGATGATGTCTCTGGATGGAACGATGGTGGGTGTTCTGCATTAGACCTCCCTGCCTTCTTGCCAACACCAAATGTGGGTCCCTTCTGATTTTTAGGGCTTGAATAACTGACACTCTCTGAAGACACACCTTGCTGTAAACAGGCTAGAGGATGTGGATAATTCTGCCCACCAGCATCCATGCCTGCTCCCTGGATTACGTCTCCCAGCCCACTCTTTTCCCAAAGTCCAAGCTAGACACTCAGCCCTCTCCTGTCCATCAAGCACCTCCGTTGCTACACAGAGGCCAGAGTAGCCTCCCTCCAGATGCAGGCCTTCCCAGCTGTGCCCGTGGGGGGCCGAAGCAGGAGCAGCCTGGATCTGGGCCTGTTTAGAGAGGAATGTGCCATGCACAAGGGACCATTGTTCAGGCCTCTGCTCTGACCGCAGGCTGCCGCAAACCTCGCCGACTCCTGAAACCAGATCAAGTACTTCCTGGTGTACAAATTGGGCCTGGTCTGGGAAGGGGATAGCAGGAGAACCACAAAGCCCTTCCCCAGCCTGGGACAAATGTCTTGCAGAAGAATGCTAGAGGCGAGGTCAAACAGATACATGTGCAGCCCCCACAGGAGGGAACAGCACTGAACTCTGAGCACAGGCTCCCCCCCGCCGCTGGTCAAACCCTGTCTACCTGCACCAGCACAGCAGGGTCTGATGCCCAGGAATACGGGAGATGGCACCAATGGAGACACTGCCCTGTTCGCAGCCCTGAGCTTGCCAGAACACCCTACGCACAGGTTAACAACAAAAACCATTTGGTGTTTGGAGTGAGACCACAAGCATGTGGCCAGCAGACTCTGCTGACCACAGCTTCCCTGTTCTGAGTTTCCTTTGAGTGCCAGGCCCAGGCATGGATCCCTGCTCAAAGTAGTGAGGTGGGGTGGTGGGCAGGGCCTTGGACTGGGCAGAGCTGGGCCTAGCTGTGAGGGACCCTCTTCCCCACCCCATCTCGCAGCAGGGAAGGCAGAGAAAGAATCCATACCAAATAATATGACAGCCCTTCCAAGAACAGGAATGGTGGCCCAAAAGCCAACTCGTGTTAGGGGCCTGGGGGCAGAGGACTGAAGCAGTGAGGCAAGGGCAGGAAGTAGTTCCTGGCAGAGAAAAGTGCAAGCAAAGGCCTGCTGCCTTCCAGAGCTGAAGAGAGGCCCTGGGCCTGTAGCCTGATACAGACCGTGGGCCTCTGCTGAGGACCAGCTGCAGAACACCCGAGCAAGAAAAAGCCAACAAAATGACACCACAGCGAATTCCTCTGGGCCTCAGTGTCCTCGCCTCACCCAGCACTCTACGCAGCAGGTATGAACGGGATGAGAAGGTAGCACCAGAACAGATGTGGTACTTGGAAAGCATGGCTGCTGTTGACCCCACCTCCCTCTGCCCAAGGAGCAC